TGGGGGGTTAATTTAGGTGTCTAATATATTGTGTTAGCTAGCTAATTAATAGAGAGAAGTATCCTCTCTTATGTCCGTGCTTGGTCGACGCTACGTACTGTACATAGAGAGGCCCTGATGTAGGGTGGAACCCTATATCGTCGATCTTTCACGTTTGGAGTGGATCCTACGGGGAATCACGAAGAACACGCGGAAGCACAACGGGAAACACAGGGGAAAACGAGAGAGAATCACTCAACCAACAAGGAATCGATCACACAAGTGCTAGATCACCACACACATAAGAGATGCATATGATCCACAATCAACAAAGGTAAGGATACAAAGGACAGTTCATCTCCTAACGGAGGTCTTGAATCCACGAGGGGATCTTCCCACGATGGGGGTCTTGAATCCGCTTGGGGGATCTTCTCCGAAGAGGTCCTGAACTCCGAGGAGAAGTATCCAAGTGGATGAGCAAAGGCTCTCTCACAAATATGAGCTAATCCAATGCTAACCCTCAAAGTGGGGAGTGGGAGGTCTATTTATAGTGCTAAGCCACGAAGGGGTAAGTGAGGGGCGAAGGGGTACACGGGCTTCGGCCCAAGTCACGCACGCAGGCGGGGTCCGGATGATCCGGATGGTGGCCCTGATGATCCGGGTGTCGGGGGTCCGGATGATCCGGGTGACTGTCCGGATGATCCGGCTTCGTCGAGTAGCTTCGGGTGTCTTCGGGCACGTTAGCCGGATCGTCCGGGTGGTCGTTCGGATCGTCCGGGCTCGGTCCGGATCGTCCGGCTGGGTGTCCGGATGATCTGGGCAAGTCCTGTCTTGCTCCATTTTTCTTCTTCCTTCTCCTCTTCCATGCTTCTGCGCACGCTCGGCCTTGCTCCTTGGGTTCTCCATGGTCTCCTCGGGTGTACCTGAGTATGCACAAGGTCCGCGCTTGAAGTAGCAACCATGTCTCACGTGAGGAAAGTGAAGGTTTAGAGAGGATCGAGTTCACCTTGTGTCCAATGGCGTATGCTCGAGGTCTCGTCATATGTCCTCTTGGGGCTCGGAGAGTAGTCGGAGTGTACATGGGGATGAACGTGGGATGCTCCGCATCATCTCCCCCCCCCTTGTAAAAGATCCGACCTTGGATCGTGATCCTCATCACCATGGAAACGGTTGTCGTGGACGGACATGTAGTGGGACGTAGGTGAAGGCCTGGCGGAATCCAAGTACTCCAAGTTGTCTCCGGTGTGTGGTACATGCAAAATGAGCAAACACAAAGTACACTTGGAAATACAATGGTTAGCGCACACAAAGTGTCCATCATGTAAGAATGAGTCCGTGCGGCAAGATTGGTCGTGACAAAACGCATGAAGCTTATCAAGATGATCTAGAATGAGATGCAAAGCATTCATGGGAGGAAATGCAATCAGTGTGCACACAAATGTGTTGTAAATATGATCAATGCAACCATGGTGCAAAATGATGTCATAGTGAGACGGTTTATCAATAGCATGAATATGGCAACAGATGCTCAATATGTGAATATTATCATGCAATTGATGGTGGGCAATATGATCATGATGTATGAATATGCCATCAAGGAAGATCACAACAAATTTGCTAAGGAAGTGAACAAGCTCATATATCATGGATGACATGGTAATACAAGATGCAACAAGGCAATCATAATGTGAGTCAATCCATGCATAGTGTGCAAACTTGTGGTGAGTATGATATGTCCATCAAGCATGACATGTATGAGCACAATCAACAAATATGGAGGTGTTGGTGTACCAAAGCTCGATGTCGAGGCATGGGTGGAAGACCGAAGGTGCATCCAATAAGTGCGAGCGCTCCTCAATGTGAAGGTCCATGTAGCCAATCTCCAATGTCGTTCCTCCGTTCACGAGATGTATCATGTAGACAACAAGAAGGAAACAACAATGAAAGAGTGACCCATCCAATATGCGTAATTGAGGATGGCTCAAAGAGAAGGAGTTCACCTTTAAGAGTGACACAAGGATGATGTAGTTGCGCATCTTGTATGCCTTCACATAACCAATATGCCGCGTGATGGTACCGCCTTGTGAATCCTTCAAAATGAAAGAACATGACAAACACTCGGAAAAACAAATGAGGTTAGCAGAAGTGCAAAACCTATCATTCGTGTGGTAAGATACCCAACAAGTGTATGCGTCATGCTCATCATAAGAATGGACAAGGGAGCATTTCATAGTATGAAGGCTTATGATGTAAGAACAACCAAATACAAGAGGCTCAATCAAACAATCATGCATCACAAGTAAAGTGTCCAAGTCTCCAAGATCAATAAGCATAGCAAGTTGGTACTCAATACAAGGTGATATGAGAGATGCAACTAATGGAGACAAGAGGCAATGATTATGACAAATCAAGTGAGAGGCATGAGCATATATGTCATCAACCCAAGAAAGCAAGTGATAGTGGAACATGGGTGATGCAACCAAGCAAGCAATCATAGCAATCACGTCAAGCAAGCTAGTAGTGCGAAGATGCAACATACTAGAAGGAATCATGGCAAGCATGTCATGTGTGAAAATAGTGGGCATGAATAATGGACATGACATAGCACAAACATGAAAGCAAGATATGAGCAAAATATCATCAATGTATTGGCGAGAGACCATATGTGAATAGCAATGGGGCATCATGACTCTCCCAACACAACAATCAACAATAGCA